TTTCAAGGTTAAATGCCCCGGGAGAAGCAAAGTAACTTCAAACTTGAACAGGTTTAAGAGGCTTGCTCAAGCAAGGTCACCGGGCCCTTGAACTTTGGTATTTTTTGTTGTTTGTTTGTTTGTTTTTATAGAGACAGGGCCTTATTATGTTGCCCAGGCTGGTCTTGAACTCCTGGCTTCAAGTGATCCTCCCACCTCTGCCTCCTGAAATTCTGGAATTAGAGGCATGAGCCACCACACCTGGCCAGAACTTTGGTGTTCTTAAACAAAAATCTAGAAAAGCTTTTCTTGTAAAGGAAACAGAACAGTCTCCTTGGGGGCTTGGCCTACCTGGCACCTCCGGGAAATATCAGAAAAGGCAGCCCAGGTTGGCGTGGCCCATGACATCAGTGTTGTAGTCCAGACACTGGGTGCCTGTCCACCCACCGTGGGGCAGGGCTCAGCCAGGTCCTCACCTGTAGGGGGCACATGCTCTCTCAGTGACGGTCACCAAGAGAAACAGTGCATTGACCTCAGTAAAAGAATGCCAAGCTCTTTCTTTCTCAAGTAATGTGGAGGAAAACGAGCTCCTGCCAGGTGTAGAAGAAAGAAGAAAACCCGTTCTTGGCAGCAGGGGAGTCAGGTTGCCACAGCAACGAGCTTCTTCCAAGTCCACTCATTACATGGCTTTTGAATTAGACTTCCTCCTGTGCATACATCTCGCTGCACTGATTCCCTTGTTTTCGGCCTGCTCCTTTCCCAGCTTCTCCCGGGGAAATCACCACAGAGGGGAGTCACCGACCCCTCCTTTCAAGGCTTGGTCCTGCGTGTCCCTGGGATGACACAATATTTACTTGTTGATTTACATTGGGAAGAACCTGATCTCTGTGCAGGGGGAAGAGCCCCTCCTCCTCCGTGGGTGGGAGCGTTGACTGGTATGACTTTTTGAGCAGCAATTTGGGACAATACAAGTGTATACCCTTTGGTCTCATGGTTCTGGGGCTTAACCCTGGCATGACAGCATTTTTGTATAACAGTCAAAAGCTGGAAATAACCTTCACATCCCTGATGGGAGATGGGTTAAATATCAGCTAAGCCACTAGACAGTTGATGAATAATGAGCTAGAGCTTATGTACCCATATGGAAAGACGTACTGTTAAGTTAAAAAAAGTAAGTTGTTCCAACTCATAGAAACAGAAAGAAGGGTGGCTGTCAGGACTGGGGGGAGGGGGAAATGAGGGGGGTTGTTTAATGGGTATAGAGTTTCAGCTTTGCAAGATGAAAATGTTCTGGAAATTGATTGTACAACAATGTGACTGTAACACTACTGAATTCTAAACTTAAAAATGATTAATGGGCTGGGCACGGTGGCTCAAGCCTGTAATCCCAGCACTTTGGGAGGCAGAGGCAGGAGGATCACGAGGTCAAGAGATCGAGACCATCCTGGTCAACATGGTGAAACCCCATCTCTACTAAAACTACAAAACATTAGCTGGGCATGGTGGCACGTGCCTGTAATCCCAGCTACTCAGGAGGCTGAGGAAGGAGAATTGCCTGAACCCAGGAGGCGGAGGTTGCGGTGAGCCGAGATCGCGCCATTGCACTCCAGCCTGGGTAACAAGAGCGAAACTCCCTCTCAAAAAAAAAAAAAAAAAAAAAGTAGCCAGGCATGGTGGCACATGCCTGTAATCCCAGCTACTTGGGAGGCTGAGGCAGGAGAATTGCTTGAACCCAGGAGGTGGAGGCTGTAGTGAGCGGAGACCATGCCACTGTACTCCAGCCTGGTGGACAGAGCAAGACTCCGTCTCAGAAAAAAAAAAAAAAGGTTGAGATGGTAACTTTTATGTCATATGTTCTTTACCACACAGAAAAAGTTAAGTTTCAAAATGGAATTGGGAGGAGACAAAATAAGCTGTTATCAGTGCTTCCCTTTGCAGCTGGGGAGGATTAAAGGGGGAAAATGTGTTACTTTTCATTTTATTCCCTTCTTTTGGAGAGCTTTTTTTTTCCTGGATACAAAGTCTCACTCTGTCACCCAGGCTGGAGTGCAGTGGTAGGATCTTGGCTCACTGCAACCTCCGCTTCCCGGGTTCAAGCAATTCTTATAATTCAGCCTGTAATGTAGCTGGGATTACAGGCGCTGGCCACCACACCTGGCTAATTTTGTATTTTTAGTAGAGACAGAGGTCTCGCCATTTTGGCCAGGCTGGTCTCCAACTCCTGGTCTTAAGTGATCTCCTGCCTCAGCCTCCCGAAGTGTGGAGAGCTTTTTAAAAATATATAATTAATTTCAGCCAGGCATGGTGGTTCACGCCTGTAATCCCAGCACTTTGGGAGGCTGAGGTGGTTGGATCACCTGAGGTTGGGAGCCCAAGACCAGGCTGATCAACGTGAAGAAACCCCGTCTCTACTATACTAAAAATACAAAATTACCTGGGCATGGTGGCACTACTGCACTTCAGCGTGGGTGACAGGGTGAGACTCTGTCTCAAAAAAAAAAAAAAAAAAAAAAAAAAAATGGCGCTGGTAAAACTGAATTCCACATGCTAACGAGTGAGGTTGGACCCCTACCTTATACCATACACTAACATTAACCAAAAATGGGTCAAAAACCTAAATTTAAGAGCTAAAACTATGAAACTCTTAGAAGAAAATACAGGAAAAAGCTTCATCACATTGGATTTCTTAATGATTTCTTAGATATAACACCAAAAGCACAGGTAACCAAAGAAAAAATTGATAATTCATCTACATCAAAATTTAAAACCTTTGTGCAAGGAATACTATCAATAGAGTGGCAACCTTTGGAATGGGAAAAAACATTTGCAAATCTTAAATTCGATAAGCAGTTAATATGCAGAATATATAAAGAACTCTTACAATTAAAGAATAACAAAACAAACAATGGAATTAAAAATGGATGAAATACTTAAATAGGCATTTATCCAAAGAAGATATACAGGTGGCCAATAGACACATGAAGAGATGTTCCACACTGCTAATTATTAGGGAAATGGAAATCAAAACTACAGTGAGATACAACTGCATACTTACTAAGATTGCTATAATGGTAAATCTTACTAAGATTTTTATAATAAAAAAGACCAGAAGGCCAGGCATGATGGCTCATGCCTGTAATCCCAACACCATTGGAGGCTGAGGCAGAAGGATTGCTTGAAGCCTGGAGCTTGAGACTAGTTGGGTAACATAGCAAGACATCGTCTCTACAAAAGACTTAAAACTTAGCTGGGCATGGTGGTACATGCCTGTAGTCCCGGCTATTCAGGAGACTGAGGTGGAAGGACCACTTGAACCCAGGAGGTGGAGGCTGCAATGAGCTATGATCACACCACTGCACTTCGGTCTGAGTGATAGAGCAAGACCCTGTCTCTGAATAAAATAAAAGGAAAGAGGGCTGAGCACAGTGGCTTATGCCTGTAATCCCAGCACTTTGGGAGGCCAAGGCAGGCAGATCACCTGAGGTTGGGAGTTCGAGACCAGCCTGACCAACATGGAGAAACCCTGTCTTTAAAAAAAAAAAAAAAAAAAAAAAGAACAAGTATTGGCCAAAATGTGGAGAAATTAGAACCATTGTGCGTTGCTAGGGGGAAAGTAAAGTGGGACAACCGCTATGGAAAACAGTGTGGCAGCTTCTCAATGATTAAAAGTAGAATTACCAGGCTAGACGCGGTGGCTCACACCTGTAATCCTAGCACTTAGGGAGGACGAGGTGGGTGGATTACCCAAGGTCAGGAGTTTGAGACCAGCCTGGCCAACATGATGAAACCCCGTCTCTACTAAAAATACAAAAAAATTAGCCAGACATGGTGGCAGGTGCCTGTAATCTCAGCTACTCAGGACGCTGAGACAGGATAATCACTCGAACCCAGGAGGAGGAGGTTGAAGTGAGCTGAGATTGTGCCACTGCACTCCAGCCTGGGTGACAAGAGTAAGACTCTATCTCAAAAAAATCATGAATTTAATTAAATAAAAATAGAATTACCCTATGATCCAGCAATTCCACTTCTGAAAGCAGAGACTTGAACAGATATTTGTACACTCACGTACACAGCAGCATCATTCACAACAACTCAAAGATGGAGGGAACCCAAGCGTCCATCAACAGATGTGGATAAACACAGCACCGTGTATACAGTGGAATATTATTCAGCCTTCAAAGAGGAAGAAATTCCAACACACGCAATGTAGACGAACCTCGAGGACATTATCTAAGTGAAATAAACCAGTCAGAAAAGGACAGATAGTGTATGATTCCACTTATGTGAAGGACTTAGAGTTGTCAAGTTCACTGAGACAGAAACAGAGTGTGGTTACTGCAGGCTGGGGTGTGAGGCGGTGGGAAGTAACTGTTTAACGGGTGTGGAGTTTCAGTTTGGGAAGGTGAAAACAGTTCTAGAGATGGATGGTGGTGACAATGGCGCAATATGAATGTACTTTAATGTCACTCAACTATTTTTAAATGATTGAAATGGCAAATGTTAATATAACATTATATATATATAAAATATTTATATATTTGATCACAATTTTAAAAATCTCTTCCCTGTTTATCTTTGGCCATCATCCCTGCCTGTTGAGGCGTCTGGGATCTGGGAGAGGCAGCCCACACCCTATTTGAGTATCGGAGCCTCCTGCACGATCCTTTCATTCCATTTTTCCCCCTATTATTAATTTATTTCATTTTTTTGAGATGGAGGCTCCCCTTACTGCCCAGGCTGGAGTGCAGTGGCAGGATGACTGCCACCTCCACCTCCTGGGTTGAAGTGATTCTCCCCACTCAGCCTCCTTCGTAGCTGGGATTACATCATGCCCACTAATTTTTGTATTTTTAGTGGAGATGGGGTTTCACCATGTTGGCCAGGCTGGTCTTGAACTCCTGACCTCAGGCGATCCACCCGCCTCGGCCTCCCAACCTGCTGGGATTACAGGTGTGAGCCACCATGCATGGCCTCCCACTTTTTTTTTTCTTGTTTCCTTTTTCCTTTTTTTTTTTTTTTTTGCTGGGAGCCCTTTCTCAATAAATCCCTTGCGTAAGAATCCCTGACTCAGGTTCTGCTTCTATGGGGCTGACGACAACACCTCATCTATTTTCTTTCTTTATAAAGTCATGGGGTGTAAAAAGTCCCTCCAGGCAGGAGTCTGGTTTCCTCCTGGGTAGGAGTCTGCTCCATTTTAGAAGCTTTCCAAGCAGCATCCCACTTCTCCACATGACTGTGGATGACTATCTTACCATGTGCTCAGGAGGGCTCCAGAAAGCATGTGAGCATGGATGGTGTGATCCCAGCCTCCCAAGTAGCTCTGTCCAGGTCATGTCTGCAGGGCGACATCAACGGGAAAACCACACTTGCTCGGGCTCAGCAGGCCAAAGTCTCAATCCCATCTGGATTCATTTTCCAGGGCTGCAATAACAAAGTATCACAAATTGGGTGACTTAAAATGACAGAAATGTGTTGCCTCACAGTTTTGGAGGCTGGAAGGCCAAAATGAAGGTGCTGGCAGTGTCATGCTCCCCTGCAAAACCTGTAGGGAAGAATCCTTCCTGCAATCCTCCAGCTTCTGGTGTTTGCCAGGAATCCTGGCCTCCCTAGCAAGTATCAATTGCATCACTGCCATCTCTGCTTCTATTGATGCATAGCTATATGCCCCTACATGTCTTCTCTCTCTCTCTTTTTTTTGAGACAGAGTCTTGCTCTGTCACCAGGCTGGAGTGCAGCGGCACGATTTGGCTCACTGCAACTTCCGCCTCCCAGGTTCAAGCAATTCTCCTGCCTCAGCCTCCCAAGTAGCTGGGATTACAGGCATGCACCACCACGCCCAGCTAATTTTTGAATTTTTAGTAGAGACAGAGTTTCACCATGTTGGACAGGATGGCCTCAATCTCTTGACCTCGTGATCCACCCGCCTCAGCCTCCCAAAGTGCTGGGATTGTAGACGTGAGTCACTGGGACTGGCTCCTCTTCTTTTTTTTGAGACAGGGTCTCACTTTGTCACGCAGGCTGGCAGGCTGGAGTGCAGTGACTTGACCAAGGCTCACCGCAGCCTCCACTTCCTAAGTTTAAGCGACCCTCCCACCTCAGCCTCCCAAGCAGCAGGGACTACAGGAGTGTGCCACCACCTTCAACTTATTTTAAAATTTTTTTGTAGAGACAGGATCTCACTATTTGTCCAGGCTGGTCTCAAGCTCCTGGGCTTAAGCAATCTTCCCACCTTGGCCTCCGAAAGTGCTGGGAGTACAGATGTGAGCCACGGGGCCTGACCTCCCACCTCTTTGTTTTTGGAGACAGAGTTCTGCTCTTGTTACCCAGGCTGGAGTGCAATGGTCCCATTTTGGCTCACTGCAACCTCTAACTCCCGGGTTCAAGGGGTTCTCCTGCCTCAGCCTCCCGAGTAGCTGGGATTACAGGCATGCACCACCACCCCTGGCTGATTTTGTATTTTTAGTAGAGACTCCCAACCTTAGGTGATTCGCCTGCCCCAATCTCCCAAAGTGCTGAGATTACAGGCGTGCAGGTGTGAGCCACTGTGCCCGGCAAGGCCCCCCTCAACTACTTCTCATAAGGACACCAGTCATCTCTGATTAAAGGCTCCACTTACTCCAGTATGATCTCATCCTCACTAACTGCATCTGTAATGATCATGTCTCCAAATAAGGTTATATTCTGAGACTTCAGCATACCTTTTTTTTTTTTTTTTTTTTTTTGAGACGAGTGTCCTCTGTCACCCAGGAGTACAGTGGCACGATCATGATCTCAGCTCACTGCAACCTCTGCCTCCTGGGTTCAAGCAATTCTCCTGCCTCAGCCTCCCGAGTAGCTGGGATTACAGATGCCTGCCACTACCATGCCCAGCTAATTTTTCTATTTTTAGTAGAGACGGGGTTTCACCATATTGGTCAGGCTGGTCTCGAACCCCTGACCTCGTGATCTGCCCCCTCGGCCTCCCAAAGTGCTAAGATTACAGGCGTGAGCCACCATGCCAGGCCATCTTCAGCATATCTTTTCTGGGGGACAGAATTCAACCCCTATCAGCATCTCTGCCATTTGTTAGCAGTGGGATGCCTCAAGTCATGTCACCTCTCTCTGCTTCAGTTTTGTCAGCTGTAGGAATGAGAATACCAGGGTGATATGGCTAGAGAGTGGACACGTGGGGTATTTTCCACCCTGGTACCTCACGTTGGTGAGGTAGGCGCTCACCAACAGTGACGCTCTCCTCAGCAGCATTCTCCTGGGGGCCGGAAGGCTATCATTACAGCCCCTCGTCCTTCCCCCACTCCACCATGCTGCCTTCACAATGACTGCTCTGCAGGAAAGCTTAGTTCTCCCCTAGATGTCTAGATTGTATTAATAAAAAATAACGGGGCCTGTCAGAAGATTACACTTAAGGGTCCATTATTTAAGTGCCACTGCCTGTGACGACTCTATGAGTAATGAGAATGCTAAGTGCCTATCGGGCAGGACAACGCAGGTGAGTCGAACATGCAGAAGAGTCTCCACACACAGCCCTTTCTGGCCACAGTGACTTTGCACTAAGTGCAAATCAATCTTCCCGGGGCAATTTCCTGTTGTCAGGACAGAGCTGTCTCCTCTCCTCTCACCCTCCTGCTGTTGTGCTCTGGCTTCATTCTGGCTCTGACAAAGGGGTGAATGTTCAACATTTCTCTTAACTGACACAGTGACAGGTCCTTTTGCTGACATATCCTAGCATCTGTCTGCCTTATTCACCTCAGCACAGCATCAACCTGAAATTGTCAGCTGTTTTCAGAATAATAGATTCTCTTCCGGACCCAAGCCTCAAAGCTTGCATCGATTTTATTCATTCTAGGATGTCAGGAGATCATTTATCATTTATTATTTTTATTTTTGAGACAGTCTTGCTCTATCACCCAGGTTGGAATGCAGTGGTACAGTCTCGGGTCACTGTACCCTCTGCCCCTTGAGTGCAAGCAATTCTCCTACCTCAGTCTCCCAAGTAGCTGGGATTACAAGCATGCACCACCACACCCGGCCAACTTTTGTATTTGAGACGGAGTTTCGCTCTTGTTGCCTAGGCTGGAGTGCAATGGCACGATCTTGGCTCACCACAACCTCTACCTCCAGAGTTCAAGCGATTCTCTTGCCTCAGCCTCCCAAATAGCTGGGATTACAGGCACGCACCACACCGTGCCCAGCTAATTTTGTATTTTCAGTTGAGATGGGGCTTTGCCACGTTGGCCAGGCTGGTCTCAAACTCCTGACCTCAAGTGATCTGCCCACCTCGGCCTCCCAAAGTGCTGGGGTTACAGGCATCAGCCAGCACGTGCGGCCTACAGTAGGTGATTTCAGTTTGCTGTCCACAGCCACCCTCACCTCAACCTCCCACAAACTAAGGCAACGAAAAGACCTATGTGCACTTTGAAACCTCTTGTCCCCTCACCTTGTGGACACTTCTGTTCAGTCATCAGTGCTTCCCAAATTTTAAAATGCAAACAAATCACTTGGGACCTTCTTAGATGCAAACTGAAATTATTATTTTGAGACTGGGTCTCTCTGTTGCCCTGGCTGGAGTGCAGTGGCACGTCACCGCTCATTGCAGCCTCGACCTCTTGTGGCTCAATAGATCCTCCCACCTCAGCCTCTTGAGTAGCTGGGACTATAGGCATGCACACCATGCCCAGCTAATTTTTGCTTTTTTTTTTTTTTTCCATAGAGACGGGGTTTCACTATTTTGCCCAAGCCAGTCTCAAACTCTACCGGACTCGGCCTCCCAAAGCGCCGGGATGACAGGAGTGAGCCACTGTGTCTGGCTAGATTTTGCCTTCCTAACAAGCCTTCATGTGCTGCTGAAACTGTCGGTCCACAGGTCTCACTTTGCATGGCCACACCTACATGCTCCTTCCCCTCTAAGTTGGTAGATATGCCACAGATGTGACAGGTAGGATGACCAAGGTTTGCCCTGGTGCTAGAGGAGCAGGAGGGAGAGACCACCTAACTGCCCAGGAGAGATAAAGAAGACCTCCCAGGGCTGGGCGCAGTGGCTCATGCCTGCAATCCCAGCACTTGGGAAGGCTGAGGCGGGCAAATCACCTGAGGTTGAGAGTTCAAGACCAGCCTGACCAGCAGGCTGAAACCCCATCCTACTAAAAATACAAAAATTAGCCAGTCGTGGTTGTGCACACCTGTAGTCCCAGCTACTTGGGAGGCTGAGGCAGGAGAATCACTTGGACATGGAAGGTGGAGGCTACAGTGAGCCGAGATCATACCACTGCACTCCAGCCTGGGCGACACAGTGAGACTCCATCTCAAAAAAAAAAAAAAAAAAAGACCTCCCAGAAATGTAAGCCACCGTGAACCGGGCCAGTGAGTGCTATTTGTGCTTCTAGAAAGATCACTCTGGAACCAGGCACAGTGGCTCATGCTTGTAATCCCTGCACTTTGGGAAGCTGAGGACAGTGGATCACCTGAGGTCAGGAGTTCAAGACCAGCCTGGCCAACATAGTGGAAGCCTGTCTCTACTAAAAATACAAAAATTAGCTGGTCGTGGTGGCATGCCCCTTTAATCCAGCTACTTGGGGCGCTGAGGCAGAAGAAGTGATTGAACCTGGAGGGCAGAGGTTGCAGTGAGCTGAGATGTTATACTGCACTCCAACCTGGGCAACAAGAGTGAAACTCTGTCTCAAAAAAAAAAAAAAAAAAAAAAAGTCTCTCTTGGAACAGCCTGCTGTGTGGAGAAATGTGGAGAAGGAAAGGAGGGCCTAGACAGAAGGCGGAGGGGCCAGAGGAGGCTCTTACAATATCAGGATCAAGTGTGATAAGGTCTGAAATAGGATAGAGGCTGTGGGGCTGGAGAAGAGGGTAGGGCATGGGAGGGGGAACAGAGGGCCAGTCAGCTGGTTGTGGGAGGTGTTGGAGGAAGGGGAGCCAAACCGCACACCCAGACCTCTAGGTCTGAAAGGTGTGAGTGAGAAACACCCTTCCTAATGAACAAATTTCCACCAAAAAAAAAAAAAAAAAAAAAGACAGAGAAACACCCTTCCAAGGGAGATACCAGGCGGCGGTGTTCTAAGGGAAGAATGAGGACCAGGAGAGAGCATGCAGGGAGTAGAATTAAGTTTGCTGTTGAAAGGGGTTTCAAGGCTGGTCGCGGTGGCTCACACCTGTAATCCCAGCACTTTGGGAGGTCGAGGCGGGTGGATCATGAGGTCAGGAGTTCAAGACCAGCCTGGCCAACATAAAATTAAAGATACAAAAAATTAGCCAGGCATGTGCCTGTAATCCCAGCTACTCGGGAGGCTGAGGCAGGAGAATTGCCTGAGCCCAGGAGGCGGAGGTTGCAGTGAGCCAAGATCGCGCCACTGCACTCCAGCCTGGGCAACAGGGTGAGACTCCATCTCAAAAAAATAAATTAATTGAAAAATAAATAA